TTGTCTCAGCGACGAGAGAAAAGTAACTAACTCTGAAAGACAAACATGGCATAATCGTACTCGTGTGGAACTGGAAAAGCTGATCTTGCGGGAGTGGAGACCAGTGGTCACCAGAGGCCGGGGTGAGCATGGACAGGCGGGTGTGCAGGGTTGGGGCACTGCAGTCAGGTAGGAGTCCGCCGGGAGCTGTACCGCGGGAGCCCGCCCGGTGACTGCACTGCCGAAGGTCTTGTTCCCTTCTTGAAGCTGCAGAGCAGACGCATCACTACGAAAACGGTTAACGGCCCGAGATTACACACTGGCTAATCAGCCAGATGTAACTGTTTCACCACACACGTACACATCGTGTTGGACACAGTAAGTACAGTTTTATTTGCTGCTTTTGAAAAGTAATTTCAGAGAAATGGCAAAATTAAAGCAATGGCAGTGACAAAACACGGCGGCGAGCAGGCGTCATCTCCAGGCTGGGCCCGTCTTGTCGGTGAGATGCCAGCCCTGCAGACCGGGTGCTGGGGGAGGAGGGCTCACAGGCACCCGCGGTCCTGGCAGCGGGAGACCGGGAACAAGCAGAAGGGGGGGCCGCTGGGAAAGACTCAAGGCTGCAGCAGCTTCAAGCAAGAGTCGAAACATTTGGCTCCCTAAAGCAAGTGTGAAGGCTTGGGATTTCTGCGGGTTGTTTCTGAAATTCGTATGTGTTTTGTGATACAGGATAATGACCTCATTTTAGGGAACTGGTACACACACAGCCCACCCTAACCATTTTCACTTCCCCTCTCCCTCCACTGCCCTTCCTCCCTCCCATCTCCCACACCCTGATCCACTTCCCATAAACATCTTTAAATTATATATATATAAGTGCTAAGGTGGTGGCATTAAAAAGTACTGTCTGTTGCATTCTGGGTTGGTGATATTTGCTTAGATGGGAAATCGTTTAAAGTAATATGTCACATTTAAAGGATTAATTAATAGTTTTAATTAAAAAAAGAAAGAAGTCAAGTTCAGTATTTGACCTCAGGTAAGCCACATTAGCAGACCACTGAATAATTTAAAAAAATTCTACCAGCCTAATTGGGGGTCACATTAACACAACCAAATAGACCAAAGGCTTATGCAGTAACCAAGAATGGCACAGAATTTATTTTGTACTTTTTAATTATGAATCATGCCCATTACTAAGTTCCTAATCTAATGATCTTTAGAGAAGATTCTTAAATTTATTCTAACTTTATAAGCTTTAAAATTTTTCAAGAGAGCTGACCGTGGTGGCCTGTGATCCCAGCATTTGGGAGGAAGGCTGAGGCAGGAGGATCACCATGAGTCCGAGGCCAGCCTGGGTTACATAGTGAGATCCTGCCTCAACAAAACAAAACAAAACAAAATAAAAATAATAATAAATAAAATTGTTTTCAAGAGAAATTAACTCGGGCATTAAAGTTTATTCATGAGACCCTATGGCATGTTTGTGCTAGCTTGTGGGAGCATGGGAAGTTTGGAATGAGTTTCGGTCTTGTTTATTCTTGTGGTTGTTGTTGTTTATGGTGCAGGGCGTCCCGTGTGCTAGGTCAGTGCCCTATATTGAACCACACTCTAACCCTGGCTGCATCCTTTCTGTCCAATCACTGTACCTGACAGACTGCGGTCAGTTCTTTAGCTCCTTTTCCATGCCAGAGGCAAAAGGAAAAATCAAAATCAAACAAACACTCACTAGATGGCTATTCCCCCGCGCTGGACTAATCTCTGGAAGTAAATTTCAGATCTGAACCCTAACTCCTGCTTAGCACACATGACTTTTCAAAACAGCGGCTACTGGGAATTCAAAGTGTTACCCAACCTCTGTGGGTTCTTAGTGGGTAGACTCGAACAATGGGCAGAACTGTTAAGAGTCCATTGCTGATTGCAGTTGTTGGGATGCTAGCCAGGAACTTGAACACTGCTGCTTTTTCTCTGAACAAAACCTAGCAAGAGCCACTGGCGTTGGGAAGAGAGGCATTACTGAAAATGGGGTTTGCATATCCAACTTTGGGGAAAATTAGCATTATTTGGGTAGGAAGAAATTGATGGAGTATATTTATCTCTGATGCAGATAAATCTCATCGATTAACAGACGAGTTTCGCGATTTAGGACAACCCTACAAATGCATCGTAGTGTTGCATGGCAGTGAGCTGATACATGCAACCAGGAATAAATCACATGCCAGGTATTACTTGATGGTAATCAAATAATTACAGTGTTTAGTTATATCACTTAGGTCTAGAATCTATTTTCTGTTTTGGTGTATAGAGAGCTTGTTCCCAGGTTGTATTTTCAGAATTCCTTTCATAAGAATAAAAAGTATTTTTCGTAAGAATAAAAAGTTCATTTTATTCCTCGTCTTAAACTTGAACACTAGATTTTACTATTTTCCTCTCTACTTATCAACCTACACGTAGGAAAGTAATGACTGCATTATGGGCAGGACACAAGTAAAATTCTACAGAGAAGCAAGTTTCCTTAATAGTCTTAAATTGAATTACAATTGTTGCCTATTCTCTCCACCATTGATATGGCCTCATAATTGATATATCATCCCTAAACCAATTGTGATTTTCCACATTGACTCAAACGCTCTCACGCACTTAGTTGAAAAGTCTATGTCTGCTCCAAAACCATTAAAGGGCAGACTTGTTCCTCTTAAAACTAATTTCTAGCCATTTAAAAAGTTTGTCCATTAATAATAAAAACAAAGCAATTGAAAGCATGGTCTGCAGAATGGATCCCAAGCTCTTATTCTGAATCATATTTGGAACAAAAAGTTATATAACCTAGGATGATAACTTTTCTGTTTTTGTTTTTTGGTACTGGGGATTGAACTCAGGACCTTGTGCTTGCATGGCAGGTGCCGGAACCACTGAACTAAATCCCTGGCCCCAAATACTTTTGTTTTTGTTTTTTTGGTACTGGGGATCAAACTCCGGTCCTTGTGCTTGTGCAGCAGGCAGCGAAACCACTGAGCTAAATCCCCAGCCCACCTAGGATGATAACAGTAAATATAAATTCAATAAAATACAAGTTATCTTTGGGTTCCCTAAAACCCCTTGAATAAAGAGGAGGAACTTTTAAACTGAAGATTACTGAGTTCGTCTTGTTATGGAACCTCGGGTGAGGCGAAGCCCGGTAGTGACTGGACATCCCCCTGGGTTGCACTCATGGCCTCCCTGGCCTGTCCTTGTCGCCTTTCTCTCTCTGCAGACAGGTGGCGCTCTGAATTGGTGGAGTCTCTGGTCACGGGACCTGTAAAGATGGCCGGGACAGCATCTCCTTCCAGAGACCCCGAAGAGTCAATCTATCTGGCTCAGCTCGGTCAGGTAGCTGGACACAGCCTCACGCAGCTACCGGCCCAGCTGCCAATGCTCCCAACACTCATTCCCACGGAGGGGTCTTCCTTGGACGCGGCTAGGAAGACACTTGGCGTCTGCTGCAGAACAACGTCCCCCAAGCTCCCTGGGCCCTCTTCAGTGTAGCAGCTACTTACCTGCATCAGAGCCTAGTACAGTGAGTTCACGGTGCCTCTCAGTCCACTCCCTGCTGCATACTTTATGCTCCAGACACAACTCCTGTTTAAGTCCCCACCCATGCCCTACTTAGGACGCCTGTCCTCCCATACAACTGGCCAATTTTATGCCTAACTCCCGAGGCCTCTGCGGCTGTCACGACCACTGCCAGTCGTCTTGACTTCAGAGCTCTCCTCCACGCCGCTGCTTCCGGGAGGCCTTTCTGCAAGCATTCTACCTTTTTGGACTAGCCACCACTTTCTTTCATGCATCGTAACATCGCGCACATAATTCTGCGTCATCATCCAACTTCACTGAGATTTATTGTCCAGGGGCCGACATCTGTATGATTCCAAGCTCAGCGGGCCCGCCGTCCGGCAGGAGCTCCACGGGGCTGAACGAGAAGTTTTCTTGCAGCTGTACAGTGACTCTGAAGCGACCCTAACTGTAGGTCGCAGGGTGGCCTTACTGTGAACTCGCCAAGGTGCTCAGGGTCGGGAAGCTCAAAGTCGTCCTCAGGACAGAAGCTGCCTGCCACTTACCTGGTGCTCTGATCAGTTAATTCTCTCCGAAAACTTCTGCTGGATTTGCCCTTCCCTCCTCGTTCAGTAGACGCAGTTTTACTCTAGCAAAGTCGCAGGCCATCAGTTTATGAAACTGTTTTGATCTTTTCTGCACATAAACATTGCCTTTCAAGGGCAATTTCATTAGCTACATCCTGCAGCTCTGCCTACTTTCAATAACTTTACAAGGTTAGGCTTTTGAGATATGTCTGCCTTGGTTTTCTGTCTTTGAAACAAATTGTTTTTGTTGCTCTTAAGTCTTGTTTCACACGTGCCACGCGCGAGCTCGGCCCCGAGCGAAGTTCACCTCCACACCCTAAGCCTAGAAGCGGCGGCTGCGAATCCCGTTCGTTTTCTCACCCTTTCCCCGGCTGACCCCAAACTGGGAATTCTGCAAACGCGTGAGTTAACCTTGCGGGTAGATAGAACAACGCAGCTCTTCCGAGGGCGGCAGGAGGCCCAGCCGCATTCCCTGAGCAGGGAAGCGAGCAGCGGGTCGGGCCGGGCCGTGACATCGATTGCCCGCGGGGACCAAGGGCGGCCGCGTCGTCTCGCTGGCGCCGGCGGCTCGGGTCCGCTCCTCGCGAGTCCCCGGAGGCTCCCGCGGCCCGGCCGGGCCGTCTGGCCATATCGATCGATCCCGGCCGCCCCGCCGGCCCCGGGCTCCGCCGCCCCGGGTGCGCAGGTCTCCGCCAGGGGGCGCGCGCGCCCAGAGCCGCCGGCCGCAGCCAGACGCCGGCGCCGCGCTGGGCCCGGGACACGCCTCCTCGTCCCCGGAGCCGGATGATTGACAAGGGCTCCGCAGCCAATCGGGCGGGCCGGGGCGGGGCGGCGCCCCTCGCGGCGGTATTTAGGGCGCGGCGCCGGCCGGCGGCCGGACGGGTGCGGAGTTGCTGGGCGCTGCTGCCCGCGAGTGCAGCCGGGCGGGGAGGCTACGCGTGCCCTGCGGGCCGAGCTCGCCGCGCTCCATGCTGCGCCCGCCGCCCGGGCCCTGACGCCGTGCCGGGACCCATGCCCTGCGCGCCCCGGGGACTGAGGCTGGGCGGCTGCGGGGCGCCCATGGAGCGCCACTCCAGCTACCTCTTCGTGTGGCTGCAGCTGGAGCTGTGCGCCATGGCCGTGCTGCTCACCAGAGGTGGGCCGGGGCCGGGGGAGCAGGGACGGGGCCGGGGACAGGGGGGCTGGGCCGCCGAGCGACGAGTCGCTGCTCGCGGGAGCCGGGCCGGGCGGGACGGCTGCGCGCGTCGCTCCGGAGCCGCGGCGTCTGGGTGCAGCTGGAGCCCGCGCCCCGGGGGTGTGTCGTCGGCGGGGCGTCTGGCGGGCGCCGAGCGCCCGGGTAATCCCCGGGCCCCGAGAGTGCGGATGTCCGGGAGCCCCTCACCCCTGCGGTGCCGAGCCTCAGACGGCCCCGGGCCCGCGTCCCCTCCCGCAGGCGCTCGCTGGCGCCCGGGGAGACCCAGCTTCAGACTCGGGTCCCCTTACCGCGTGCGGGGGACTCCAGCCCGCGTTCTCTGGAGGGCTCATTTTTAAATAGGAAGCATTATTTAGCCTTCGCACCCCCCGCTTTCCTCTAATTGCCGTGCAGCAGGCCTGAGGTTAAGGGATCAGCTGGCCCCCGAGGATGATGTGCTGCAGTATTTATTTATTTTGGAAGGAAGAGTGTAATTAACCCTAAATAACAGCCCTGGCGGCTGCAGAGGAGCCTCCCGGCCCTCTCAAAGGCCGGCGAAGAGGGCGCACAGGGCTGACTCGCAGAAGTCACAGATACCGAAACTATGTGCCTGATAATGATATAATTAGGGGATCAGAGATTTCAGGGCTGCGGACTTCAAACGCTGGGCGCAGCAGCAGCCTCCCCTGTAGCCATCTTGACTGAAGCAGACATTTTTGTTTAATCACCACATACAGTAAGAGAAAGGGGGAACAGAAGGGCATTGTTCCCTGTTTCAAAATACCAGTCCCCTCCTGGCCTTTCGCATGCCTCAGGAAGAAACTTTATGAAACAACAGAAATATAGTTTTAATACAATAACACAAAAGGCCGTTCTCCTGGCTGAAATGTGGCTCCAACTTTTTTTTAAAGAAAGTCTTAGAAGTTTCCCAGTTACCTGTCAAAATTTTACTAGACTGTTTTAGGTCCCTGAAAATACAGTATTTTAAATAGGTCCCTGTAAACACTGAAGCTTGTGTTCAGTTTTCCTTTTCTGCACCAGGTCAAGGCTAATAGATGCAAAATGGACTTTTGACCTGTTTTATTTATACTTTCAATCTGTATGGAATTTGCCAGTCTAGGGATGTGCAGACATCAACCACCTAAAGCCGCTGAACAACAAAGCAGGCTTGGAAAGAGGAGGAAAAAGCAGATTCCTGCAGACCAGGGTTATTCCTTGAAACAGGAGGCTGGGAAAGCGCCTTGGACGCAAACCCAGGACAGCAGTTGCAAACTTAGAAGCAAGACCTCTGGCTTTGTCTGTTAGTGGTTGCCAAAGAGCAGTGTTTCATCCGGGGCTGGTTTTTCCTAGAGCTGAGGCATTAGCAGCTCTGGTGAAAACTGTACCATGTGGTGGCCTGGAATTTGGACTGATAATTAAATGCGACACCTTACTCAGGCGTTCACAAAGAGGAGGAGGAAGAAAGGTGGTTGTGGGAAGAGGTCTGTAAAGCCACAGTGCCAGTGTTTAATTTCAGAGTGGTTTCAGTTCCAGACAGATTGTAGATTGGGAGCGGGAAGAAAGGAAGGCGGGTGCGTTTGTCTGCTGCTGCGCAGGGGTGTCCGCTGTGCGGGCGACAGTGCCAGAGTGCACCAGGCTGGGTAGCACAGTTAGGGTACTGGTATCTCAGAGATTCGTCATCGATGCGCAAGCCCCAAGTCTTGCGTTGTGACCAATGTTAACAGAGCCTTTGCTACTCGCAAAATAAGTTTTTATAAAGGAAACTTTTAATCACTTCCTGTAGAAAAATTTGAGGTTTCCTTAAGGAGTTTTCATTGACCCAGCAGAGGCTTTGCAGCTTCGGAGTTTCCCCTTTAGATCCCATGTTGGATTGCATGTAAAGCCAAGGGAGAGAGAGCCTTGCAGTTGTGCATCCCCTCCCCCCTTTTATGACTTTCCATTTGGGCTGAAAGAAATTGACTTTGGCAAGCAAACCACTAATTGTAAACTGCCTAGTTCCTGTTTTACAATATACTGACTAAAAGTTCCTCTGCATGAAAAGATCTTTATAGGCAAAGTTTGCCTTTTCTAGAGAGGTTGCAAATAGCTGCCCAGTTTCATAGTTTTAAAACCCCCTGACCTGGGCAATTTCTAGATTGTCGTGTTTCTAGTTAATAACTTTATAAGGTGTTAGCTCAAGCTCTTAAATCTTGGCCCAGACTTCAGGATAGTAAACAATTCAGTAGTTCCGATCAAATATTTATACAGACAAAAGCCTAGCATTTTTATGCTGTATGGTTGTGGTTGTGTAGGATTAAAATGAATAAATATGTCTTACAACCTTTTGGTAGAAGAAACTTAGTGATGGCTTTTCCTTCAAAAACAAGTTTTTAAAATTTCTTGGTACCTCATCAGAAATCTGCTGTGAGGCTTACTGCTTTTCTAAAATGATATTTAATTAACTGGGCTTTAAGCGCTGCTGCTTCAAGGCCCTTTGCAGTGTACGTGGCAAGCTACTGTAAGCACTCATCTTGAAGAATCTAAAATTAGTGCCTTTGAACTTGGGACTTAGCATAGTTGCTGTCTCTGGTCTCAGCGTTTGACGCGGTTTCTCATTGTTTTCAGGAGAAATTCGATGCTACTGCGATGCCGCTCACTGCGTGGCGACTGGGTATATGTGTAAGTCTGAGCTCAGCGCCTGCTTCTCCAAACTTCTTGATCCTCAGAACACCAACTCCCCACTCACCCATGGCTGCCTGGACTCTCTCAGCAGCACAGCAGATGTCTGCCAAGCCACACAGGCCCGGAACCACTCGGGCAGCTCTGTGCCCTCCCTGGAGTGCTGTCACGAAGACATGTGCAACTACAGGGGCCTGCAGGACGTGCTCTCCCCGGCCCGGGGGGAGGCCTCAGGTGGGTCGGAGCCGCCCTGACGGTGGACCTGTGCCTGCTGGCCACGGCTGTGTGTCTGCTGTTGATTTGGCTGTTAATGTAATTAGAGACAGCAGAGGGAGAGGCAGGGCTGGATGCAAAGATGCGCTTCTATCGAGTGGCTTTGTGTCTGCTGAACATTAGATGTCTGTCTGCATAATAGGTTTTGCCTGTTTCTTCAACATTTTGAAGACATTAAAAAGACCATTCATTATATCTCCAAAATGACAGCCTGTACACAGTGTTTGTAGGCCACTTTGGATAGTTTTGCAGTATTTATTTTCTGAATGTCATCAGTTGAGTTGTGAGCCATTTTTGATGGATCTCTCTTTTAAAATGGCCAGGTGGTCGTGAATGCCTCTGATGAACCCTCTGTTTGTCCTCCCTTAGGACAAGGAAACAGGTACCAGCACGACGGGAGCAGAAACCTGATCACCAAGGTGCAGGAGCTGACTTCCTCCAAAGAGCTGTGGTTCCGGGCAGCAGTGATCGCTGTTCCCATTGCTGGTGGGCTGATTTTAGTATTGCTTATTATGCTGGCCCTGAGGATGCTCCGAAGTGAGAACAAGCGGCTGCAGGACCAGCGACAGCAAATGCTGTCTCGTTTGCACTACAGCTTTCACGGACACCATTCCAAAAAAGGGCAGGTGGCCAAGTTAGACCTGGAGTGCATGGTGCCGGTGAGCGGGCACGAGAACTGCTGCCTGACTTGTGATAAGATGCGACAAGCAGACCTCAGCAACGATAAGATCCTCTCCCTGGTTCACTGGGGCATGTACAGTGGTCACGGGAAGCTGGAATTCGTATGATGGAGTCTTATCTGCTCGAAACTTCCCGACGCTTGAAGGCCTTGCATTCTGCTGGTCAGGAGCACTTTATCTGGAGACACCGACTCATCCAGTCACCCTCGAGAGGCCAGGTGACCTCTGCAGACAGAGTCTTGGGATTTCTTCTGAAGGATTATTTGCACAGACTCGAGTACAGTCAAATGTATTATTTGCTTTAAAATTATAAAAAGCAAAGCAGAGACTATGTACACGCTGTTACCAGGGGTATTTGCGTCCAGAGGAGCGGTGGTCGAGTACCTAAATAAACTAACTGTGCGCTGTGTAAGCTCCTACATCTTGATCCGTTGTAAAGATTTTTAAAATATATATATATATATTTTTTGTCTGAAATTTAGTGGTGTCTTTCGTAAATTAAAAACCAAAGTTGGGGGAGGTAAGCAGGGCCTGTAGCCCCGTGGTGGAGCATTTGCCTGGTACACAGGGGCCCTGGGTTTCATCCTTAGGACCGTGAAACAGAAAGCTGTGGGAAGGCTGAGAGAACACACTAAACAGTGTTCTTTTTAATCACAAGACCAATATCTTGTTTATTCTCATGGTGTAATTTTCTTACAGTGTAGGCTACATTACCTACATGTTTGTGTAAAGCTGATCTGGATTTACCTTTCTTCTAAGAGTCATGATTTGCTGCCGGGATTAAGCCCAGGCCTGGTACGTGCTAAGCACACTCTACCACTGAGTGCACGCCCAGTCCTACTTATTGATCCCCAGTCAGATACGATTGGTGACTTTCTGAAGTTGCCGCAACAAAGGTAATGTTTCCTAGCTTGATCTATTTGCTTTGCAATATCTTTTTAAAATGTGTCCCCCTCCATCCTAACAAAAAAATACTTCTTAGTGAAGTTAGCTACTGTCTGCTTTTACAATTAATTTACTCTCATTGTCTTGAACCATTTTTTCCCAGAGCTGAGGACTGAACCCAGGGCTTTTGCACCAAACTATCCCTAGTCCTTTTTTCATTTTTTTGTTTTCAGACAGGGTCTCCCTAAGTTACTAAGTTGCCCAGGCTGGGCTTGAACTTGATCTTCCACCCCAGTGTACCAGAGTGCTAGGATTCTAGATGTACACACCACGTCTGGCTTTTGAATTAAGTATTGTGACTCTGAAATTAACCAAACTTTACTGACAATGTTCCTGGTTTTCAAACTTTGTTCTTCAACACTGTTAGACGTTTTTTCCCTCTAACTTTTCTCAGTCTTTCGAAATATTTTAAGTAGTGAACATCATATGCCTAGTAGCAACACAGTGCTGCTAGACTTCTTGCCCCCAAATGACCCACTTATTAATATAACCAACTGGAATATGGGCTTTGGCCAGTGACTAATGCAGGTAAGGAGGATAGGTATTTCTGTTTGGTAACATGGCCCAGCCGAACTTAAACCTATTCTGTATTTGGGAATCCCGCCCCCGCCATGAATCTTTGTTATCTTAAATGTGAGAGTAATTTGCTATGGTGGGTTGTTTTTTCAATTCTTTTGTATAGTTGAAAGTTTTACTTAAAAAGTAACATAGAGCTGGACTGGTGAATTAGCTCAGAGGTACTGCACTTGCCTCAAGCACAAGGTCCTGAGTTCGATCCCCAGCACTGAAAAAAAAAAGTGAACATATAGCCTGCATATTCGAGAATGAAGTTTTTCTTGTATTAACCCTAAAAACATTTTTGCATACTTTCACGAGACTTTTATGGGAAGCATAACTTGGGTTCCATAAGGAGACAGGACCATGGGAGAATCTTGAATGGAAATGCCTAGTACAAAAATGAGAATCTACATAATTTGAACAGTTAATAGACCACTGCCCCAAGTTAGGAAATGGAATAAATGCACATTTTAATAAATGGCAATTCATACTGTGCTTTTTGAACATGCTTACTTTATGAAAGGTATTTTATGTCTTCTTTTTTGGTGTTGGTGAGCCCTCCCACCAACAGGCTAAGAACATGCTAAGCATGTTAAGAGCATGCTAGCACATGTTCTACCTTGTACCTTACCTGTACCACCATCCTCCACAACTGTGTCAGCTTTTGAGGGAGTTAAACACTTCCTGAATCTAACCTTTCAAACTTGGTTAGAAAGAATCAATAAAAATGGCAGTGGTGAACTTTGCACCCTGTGATCAAATGGTCTTTCTCAGCTTGTTCCCCCAGCTTGGGAGTTCCTTAGGAAGTAACAGGGTAAGATTTAAATGTATATGCTTAGAAGCAGTTTGAAATCCGTAAACCGAATCCTACAGCAGAGTCTTGGGTCTGGGCTGGGCTTACCAGAAATTGAATGGTGGATGCATGACAGTCACCTTTTGCCCACCCACCCTGTTCTTTCTACTGTACACCTGAGGCTGTTTATGCTTCCCTCCTCTGGGTGGGGACCCACAGCCTCTCAGACTGACTGCTGGGTCTCAAGTTCCAGCCTCCTGATAGACCACCTCTGTCTTCCTAAAAACAAACCCTCTCAGGCCAGGGATTTAGCTCAGTGGTTCCATCGCCTGCCTAGCAAGCGGAAGGACCTGAGTTCGATCCCTGGTTCCTAAAGCAAAACAAAACAAACAAAAAAAAACCCCTCTCCCATCAGATAGCGTTCATTTAGTACTTGTGCCAGGGATTTAGCTGTGGTTTCGCCGCCTGCTGAGCAAGCTCAAGGACCCGAGTTCAATCCCCAGTACCAAAAAGAAAGTACTTGTGCTTGTCTTCTTTTGATGAAAATATTGGAGTTTACTCAACTCTGAGTTTTACTAAGAGCGTCCTATAGACTTGACTCCTGCTCCCCTGTGAGACCGAAAAAGTTGCCCAGCAGGAGATAGGGCTCCTTATCAGGAATGACTGATAACTGCTTTATTTTTCCCTCTGGACGTGTGATTTTGAGGTGTTAGTGCAAGGCCGGGCTAACCAAGAACACCCTCAGTTTCTGTTCTAAGTGGAAATTTGCCCAGACTAGAGACAAATGGAACTAAATACGCCATAATGCTTCCATGTCTACATGCCTTTCCTCCTGCCCCTTTAAAAGTCATCTCTCGGCCATGTCTTTTATGTGTGCCCCTCCCTTACTTTGAATGGCTCAGAGGCTTCCTAGAAATTGACTGTGTCTCTAATTTCTGCTGAACTGATTTTATTAAAAACTGCACCATAGGGGGTTTGACCTTCTGAAATACCAAACGTGTCTGCTTCAGAAAAGTCTCAAAGCTCTCTGAAACGCTGGTAAATCTGGGTTCAATCTGGGTTGATTATAGGCTAACAGCTTGAAAGCGGCAGCATCTAGGACCCTGACAGAGCTGGCCTCTGGGGCCCGGACAGCTTTCTTTCCTTGCAGCCTCTTAGTGGTCCTTTTCTGTGCCTCTCAGCCAAAGTAACTGAACCTCCAAAGTGGTACGAACCTCACCTAGGTAAATCGTGTGAGCTCTTTGAGTGCTCAGCTTTGTTGTCTGTTAGACGGGGGCAGTGATTAAAAACTATAGGACTAGGATTATTGTGAAAAGGTATTGTATGCAAGGCTATGTTCACTCCCCAGCACCAAAAAAAGTCTTGTAGTTGTTTCTGTTAATATACACTGGTCTCAGATTGCTGGGGACGTAGCTCAGTGGTGGATTGCTTGCCCCACTAATGGCAAAACCCACACTGAAACAAAACACAAATGTAAAATAAAACAAAAACTTAAAAAAAAAATCTCAGATGAATATTCCTTAAAATTTGAGACTTTGTGCTCATCTTTGTACAGTGGCTGTTTTTACTTAACTTTTTAATATTTCAAGTCTTTGCGTATTTTAGGTCTGTAGGCCCTGGATTACCTGCAGGCTGCATTTAGCATTTTTAACACTCAGTTTACTGCTTCTACATGTGCTTTTCTTGTACCTACTTATTATGTTGGTTTGTAATTGTTTCCTTTGGAATAATCTGCATGGTTACTGATAAGAATATTTGAGATGTATGTACTTACTTCAAGTTTTGGTACATTGGTACCCCGATTCATGAACACTTGTTTGTGAGCAATTTGGTTCACAAACAGAAGTGTTTGACAAAATTTTGTTTTTGTTTGCAAACTCTGAGTCTGGTGACAAGCACCGCAGTGGTCATCTTTCCCACACAAACACAAATATGGTCATCTATTCCCAAACTGTAGAACAAATGAGGCACCACTGTATATGGCAGAATGAAGTTTCTTTAGGATTTCGCAGTTGATGTGGCTAATCTTCACAGTGAGGTGACAGGTACTGTCCCTGCAGTCAGTCCTTGGATGGCTTTTGTCTAATGAATGCATTCTGACCAAATGTCACTATCAGTTGTCCCATTGGTGCCCCTGGCAAGATGTAATCGTACCACAACTGGTTTTTGGAACTTTGGTAATTCTTTTGTTCAGGGAGAGACAAGGGTGGCTAGTCAGTGAAGACCCATTAAGTTTTTCTGGAGAGAGTTAATTTAGTTTGTTCCTCTGTGGATCACAATTAAAATGGAAAAATTAACTGCTGCAGATAGCCACTCGCTCCCCTTCCCTCGACCTAATTCATTGTCAGTGCTGCTCCAGTCTGCTGACTTGAAAGGACAGATCACCGATCTGAGAATCTGAGAGCCCATGAAATATTGAAATGAAACCCACTTTCCCATTTGGCCACCTTTTTATTTGGAGTGAGCTTACACTCTAACCCCGTGCACACTGATCTGCTCACTGCACTGTTTTACAGAGTGGTGGTGTGGTTCGCTTCTCTGTCCTCTCAGAAATGTGGAGACAGAACTTGGAAGAGCTGAGTTTAACCAGAGTTAGCAGATTTCCAATGGATCTACCAGCCAAACTGCAGCACATTTTCCCCATTCTGTGAATGTGAAAAGGGTAACAGAAAGGCACTGATAAGCAATCTTGGGAGATGCTTTGGTAAAGTTAGATCGTATCTCAAGGCTTTTGTCATTCCTGAAGACTGTTAAGAGATTCATTTTACCCAGTAGCCAGTGGCTACATGGCCTCCAGGGGCTAGTTCTGATTGTGATTAGCTACCTGTGTCTAGCGGACTAGTTTGACGCTGGACTGAATCTGAGTGGAACCCAGGAATGATCAGCTGATAACTAGGTATTGCAAGATATATATACCTGATGCTAATCAAATGGGCTCTGTAATCCTGGAATACTTCTACATTTAACAATTCTCAGTACAGGACAAAAGTAGATGTCAGAACTTGCAATTTGTTTTTAGACGAGTAAAGACTAAGTTAGTTGTGAGGAATTAATAAATGCAGAGGCTGTTGTGTAAATTTACTCTGAAAGATCTTGCGTTACAAACCTAATGGAACAAAAATTGTTTTAGCAGTTAAACCCCAGAGAAATACAAAAAGCTCTTTATCCCTGGTCTCTTCCCCTTGGAATTTCCCCGGGGAACTCAGGAGGACAGTGGAAAAACACCACACTTCTTGAGGCTGTTTCTTACTTTGTAAGTGGTAGACGTCCACACTGAAGCATCTTTTACTAAACTGAACGGATGTAGTTTTTTGTTTTTTTTTTTGGTATGGGGGATCGAACTCAGGTCTTTGTGCTTGCGCAGCAGGAAGTGAAACCACTGAGCTAAATCCACGGCCCCAAGGATGTAGTTTTGATAAGCATGGACTTTCATCCACAGTTGCCTTGGTAAATGAGGTATTTCCCCTGAATTTAGGGGCTGAACAGTGAACTCTCAGTGGGAAAGAGATGTGATCAGCAGTAACCTTTGTACCCTTGAGTCATCCATCCACAGGAGTTAAAGACCAGATTAAGGATTTTCTTCATCAGCCATCCTGATTTGGGTTGTAGATAAATGAACAAATGTAGTCTTTCTCTTTTGTTTCTCTATGCTAATGTATTGTTTTGCAGACTATGTGTGTGCATGTGTATGTGCAAATATGTGTGTATGTGTGTGTATATTTTTTCCTATGGTGGTACTGGGGATTGAACCCAGGGCCTTCACACTGATCCCCAAGCCCTATTTTTTATTTTGGGACTAGGTCTTGCTAATTTGCCCAGGTATGTAGAACTCAAAAGTTGCAATCCACCTGCCTCAGCCCTGCAAAGTACTGGAATTACAAGGATCCACACTGTGCTGCCTACGGATTATAATTTTTTATGGTGATTTGGGGATGCAGCTCAGGGGTGAAGCACTTGCCCAGCATGCTCCAGGCCCCAGATTCTTGATCCCCAGCACCAATTATAACAACTTTTGTATGGGAAACTTAAAAAATGCCAGTGTGCTAGGGAAGGGAGTTGAAGAGAAATTCAAATAGCCTGAAAATTAATGAAGCATTGCTAAGGTCAAATGGCTCAGCCTGCCATTTAAATTTGGTACCGTCTCCAAGCTGAATTGAGGATGCTAATTCTGACCTGGAAGTAGATCATTAACTTCCTTTAAACTTTCATTTGGATGTTTGAAGATATGCAAAGTTTCCATCACACAGAGTTCTAACAAGGAATTCAGAACAGCTACAGAAGTAGAGGGACCCGACAGTGCAGTGCGGCCTGGCTCGGTCCACCCTCCCTGCAGCCCCCAGGCTGGGCCACTTGGGGAAGCCCCTTTCTCCTCCGGACAGCCTCAGCCCAGAAGCTGGCGTGAAAGCAAGGACGAGCGAAGGGCGAACATTTCCTCCGCCTCAGCTCTCACCACCGCCATCAAGGATCGCCTTCCGCTTCCAAGCTCACGTGACTCTTCTGCCGCCACTTAGGGTTCTTGTGTTTCTTTTATGGTATTATTATATAATATTTTCTTAAAAATACTTTTTAAATTCAAGGTAAATTTTGAAAAAAAAAAAAAAGAATGTATGTGTAGGAGAGTGATCACTCATGACTTCCAATTGTTTTTGTTTGTTTTTGGGGGGACAGTGTCTTGCTGTCACTAA